ATGATCCGTCGAAGTTTTGCGACAAAACCAACACGACGCTGTGTATCGTAAAAAGTGAGTTTGCGATAACATAATTTTTATCCTTAGCGATCTAAACAAAATTCTTAGTATATGTTAAACTGAAATCGTGCGTATAGAGAATGTCCAAATCTGACTTCGTATGAGGAAGTTATGAATTTTCTAAACCCGAAAATCGAATTTTAGATCGATCGATTTTTAGCCGACACAATCTACACGAGAATCGAAGATTTCATTAATAGGAGCTCAATGATATAAAGACAGACGAAAACGGACGTTGGATGACAAAGTTATGAATTTTTAACGGACTTTATAAGTCTAAGCCTGTTAAAATATAACTTTAAAAATAAATTCAAAATTGGCCGACGGATTCTAAACGAAAGTTATAGATCACGTCGCTACCTACGCGTGGATTTAAAAAACGTCAAAAGCGGAGCTCGTATAAGGAATTTACGGAATTTAGATGTTTAATTAATTTTGGGTTGATGCGAGACTAAAATTAGTTGCAATAAATATTAGACTAAAATCTAGTGATAATGATACTAGGTTTCGTCGAAGGAAAATAAAATTATTAGAAGCGAAGCGCTGTCTGAGTTTGGAGTCATCACTTTAACATTTTAATTTAAAGAAATGTATAATTGTAAGCATAAAGTCCACATATACATCATATCAGCACCACATAGACTAGTACAGCTGACAACAAAGCCAACAAGGATACCAAATCACCAAGGCAACCTGTTTACCCTTTCAAATATAAAAGAATGGTGTTTTTGATATTGTTTTTCATAGTTTAAGTACCTATAACACCAAAAAAAATCATTAGGGACCTTTTAAAACAAAATTTGATAGTTTGTAGGGCATCCGTGATATTAACCTTTATTTCGGTGACATCATCTTGATTGCATCTTCTAGCAATCTCCTTTAACAAATTATTACCACTTTTTGTTCACAGTTTTCCATGTATGATATTGACTCTCTAAACAACTTTCTTGGCATTGTAGCTACCAGATATCATCATGGCATGTTTTTTATCTCATCAAAAATATGCAACCGATATTCTTGGTTAAAAATACCTAATTGCAAGCCCGCTCGCACTCCGTCGATACTTCTTGTAACACTCGGTTTCGAATCGCTTCATTATTCAGGGCTGTGGCCCGATCATCAGTTATCTTAAGGCTGAAGGCTTGGGGAAGAAAGGATTTGGCCCTTTTTGGATGTAGGTGTTATAGTCTAAGTGATCCGAGTGTTCGATGGTGTTTCGGAGCCCATGGGTATAATCCTAATTTGATAACTCAATCCTTTATGAATTTTGGGTTTTTAGTTTAGGAAGTTTTAAGGCTAAGGTGAGTTGTTAGAAGTGTAGGGCTTCTCGTCACCTTTCTGTGGATATAAAGTTCGTCGGGAACGGACTTAGAACGAAGGAGTTAGGGTTGAATGAAGTTTTAGGGTTTTGGAGGGCCATCTAGTACGCGGGGCGTACCGAGTAAGTTGGTCTTGGGTGGTCCATGAGTACACCAAGCGTACTAAGGGGTATGTGGGGTGTACTCCCTTCAGCACCAAACCCTAATTCCGGGGTTGTATCCCTATATAAGCAACATTATATCCTTCGTATGGTCATTTTGGGTCAACCTCCACCTCTTTTATCATACATTGAAACCCTAGAGCGCCTTGAGTGAGTTTTGGAGCTTGGAAGAGTGTTTATGGTGGTTTGTGTAAGAGAAGACGAAGGTTGAAGACTCATTTCTTGGAGAGGAGCTTAGAGATCCAGTGTTAGCATCTTCATTTCGTGACTTTTGGAGGTATAAAGTCCTTATCTTGTCTACTCATTGTATAGATCTTCTATTGGGTTGTTTATGGTCATTTTCACCTCTTTTGGTTAGTCCTTGTGAGCTAAGGTTGTTTCAGGGGCTTAATCTTGTAGATCTGGACGTTTTAGGTGTCCCAAAGGCATAAAAATGTGATCTTTATGGTTTATTTGGACTCATGCATGTGATAAGACCTTTCATTAAGCTCTTTTGAGCTCTAGAGCCCCATTAAGCCATGCATGCAAGTAAAGTTGCTAACTTTACGTGTTAAGTCATCCATAGGAATCAGATATGAGAGTTTGGAGCAAGGACTTAAGTGGTTAAGTGCTTAATGGAGAAGAATGGGGTTCAGGGGAGTACGCTGGGTGTACCCATCTGGTACATTGCACCTACTGGACCCAAAGGGTGTACAAGGGGCATACCAGCTGAGTACGCAGAGCGTACTCGACCTGTTTGACTTTTCTTGTTTTGTTGACTTGTTGTCCTTGGATTGTTGACCAAAATGTTGAGCAGGGTTGAACATTGGTTATTTTGAGCCTTATAGGATATTAGGCCTTCTCGGGTTAGGCCCATGATGGGATTGGGCCCAATTTGGATATTTGGGCCTTGTGGTGTCATTTCAGGGTCTGGGCTTATGGTGCTTGTGGATTGGTCTTTGGATTTTTGGCAAGTAAGGGAAAAGGGTAACATAGACTTTTACCCTGAAGGTTGGTTATTGGACTAGAATTCTGGTTGGGTCAGGAACCAATTATTGATGAAATATTATTTGATGCTGTCAGTACGGATTCCGGGTAGCAACAACTTGAGTATTCGGTTATCTTGGTTTGAGGTGAGTCTCCTCACTGTACTATGGGTCGAAGGCACCAATGCCGACCCATCTGGTTTATGTTTTATAGGAAGACCAGGGGGTGGCCCTTGACATTTGTATGAAAGACAATGAGGTGGCTCCTGGCAAATCTGTATGAAAGACCAGAGTTTGGACTCTGGCAGTTAAGTAGATAAGTAGTTATAGATTGTATGCTAGTTGTCTTTGTGATGCTTGCATGGAAGACCAGGAGGTGGCTCCTGGCACTTGTTTGTAAGACCCAGGGTTTGGTTCCCTGCTTAGCAAGGAAAGACAATGATACGACTCGTGGCATAATGACAAGACTATGGTTGGCACATAACACCTCCTATTGCAAGAATGATATGTATGACTCATATGTTATGTATGGTATGTGGTATTTTTGGTGAACTCACTAAGCTTTGTGCTTAGAATTTGTGGTTTATGGTTGTTAGGTAATTCAGGTTCAAAAGGGAAGGGCCCGACTTGATCGCAGCGCATACACCCGTGTTTTCTGCAACTCATGATTTTGGGATCGTACTCTGATAATTGTTTTATTTTGAAAATACCTTTAAATGTTTGAATAAAGGATAAATAAGTGTTTTGATCATATTAAAAATGAAATTTTTACCTTGTGATTTTTGGGGCGTTACACTTCTACGAAGTTTGATGGAATTGGTCCCCCTGTCTCTCTGACCCGAATCTTTGTCGCGCCCTTGTCAGTGCCCCAGAGTACCTGAATTTCACCAGACCCGATATCTCATATGCGGTTCAACAGGTGTGTCTATTCATGCATGATCTTAGACAGCCCCACTTCACAACTCTCAAGCGTATTTTATGTTACGTTCGTGGTACTCTAGACCATGGCTTACAACTATATGCCTCTCATTCTCATGGTATGGTTGTGTATTCTGATGCAAACTGGACAGACTGCTCCTTTACCAGACGATCCACCTCGCGGTATTTTATTTTTCTTAGTCAGAATCTTCTTTCTTAGTCATCTAAGCAACATGTAACAATTTCTCGGTCGAGCGCCCATGCCGAGTATCGTGGTGTTGCCAATGTTGTGGCAGAGACGTGCTGGAAATGGAATCTACTGCACGACCTGTAGTACCCTTCACTTACTATTGTGTAGTTTAATCTGATAATGTTAGTGCGCCTTACTTATCCACGAATCCCATCCAACATCAACGCACCAAACGGATAGAGATTGATATTCATTTTATGCATGACAAGGTTGCTATGGGTCAGATTCTTGTTCTTCACGTGCCTTCATCATCGCAGTATGTTGATATTTTCACCAAAGAGCTTCCATCATTTCTCTTTCTTGATTTCAGATCCAGTATGAACGTTTGTTCGCGATCTCTTGTTTCGACCGCGGGAGGCTGTTAACAGTGGCGGATCCAGAAAGAAAAATCAGGGGTTGCACAAATTCTTTTGAGGTTGCACTACTAGAAAAAAATTTGTTTCCGAAGGAAGTTTCCGTCACAAAATCGTTACTAAACCGTGAATTTACACTAAATTTATAAATATCAGACTTTGTGATGGATTGCTGACGGATTAGTGACAGATTTGTGACGGATTTCCAACGGATTTGTGACGGATTTTCGAAAAAAAACATGAAATTTACATTTGACGGGAAAATTGGAGGGGTAGCCCGGGCTACATAGTAGCTCCGCCCCTGCTGTTAAACGTATTCATGTATACATATTATATTTATATTATATTTATGTGTATTTTCTATATGGCCCATTTATGTATATCCCATGTATTATTAGCCCTTCTCCATGTATTTGTACTATATATATTTGTGGTGAATTCATATGATGGATTATGATAAATTACATTATCAACAATACATACAAACATTCGAATGTATCAACTTGTAACTTTTACAAATCATCCATATAAAGCATGTTCTCACTTTTAATTATTTTTTAGTAACAATAAAATTAAGACCTTATCTTTTATACCATACATGTCATATTTTACTCGGTAATATTCTTCCATCAAAGCATCCCACCCTTTAAAAAACATAATTAACACAACTTTTTTTTCCATTTTCTTTTAAATTTTAACCATCCTTTTGATGATCAATTTAAATGATGCATAAACAAAAAAATAGATACCACCAGGCCACCAACCCACATAATCAAGACAAATAATGACATTTCACCATCTACAAGCCCCTCCCCACCTTTCTCACCAAATAAGAATAGTTCCACACTTTTAATATTCCTCCACCCCTTTCACTTTCCCAAGTCAACTAGGACCCTTCATACTCTATATAAACAACCACAGATAATATACCACTAGTTCTTCTTTCTCTACTTTGAAATACATTGAAATCTCAAATGGTTCACCTGAGCTACACCAGGGTTCGCCGGAGGAGTTATGGAACCAGAGGATTCCGGCTAAATTCTAAAAGGTTTTCTGTACAAAGACTACGTGCAAAGTTCTTTAATTTCTTCAGGATTCTTATGAGAACTTGGAGATCAAGCTCATACTCGAAGAGGACAACTATGAGTTGCAGCAACTTGAGCTATGGAAGTAGCCGGAGAGACTTTGTAGCTAAGGCGAATGCTAGCCAGGTTGATGTTTGTAGGCTTAAGTCGTTCACAAGATCTAATTCTTTTTACTCCGAAGCCATTGAAGATTGTTTAGAGTTCATAAAACGGTCGTCTGTTTCTTTGGATGAAAAGCCCGAAACATGCATAATGATTAAAATAGAAAAATGATCGGATGTGAGTTTTTGTTTTCAAATGTATAGTGAAGTACAAGAAGGTTTTTATCCAACTTTTGATTAAAATTTTATTTTTGATGTAATATTCCAACAAGCGTCGATTATATAACTCTTGATAATCGTGGTCGGTGAATATTATAATATACGAACATATTATTTTTATCTTTTGGGTTTTAAAAAGATAACTGTTGAGACAATTACGTGTTTTAAAATTTGATTTCAACCGAAATTTTTAATTGATTAATATCCTTTTAATAAAACCGGTCTGAATCAATCTTAAGAATAATAGTTTTTAAATAACTGCTTAATTTAAACAGAGTAGTCCTATAGTTCAAAGTTCAAACATCTTATATTTGACCCATCGAACAATTAAATTATAAAACAAATGATCCCTTCGACTAAAAAGTATGAGATCATTTACAATTATCGTCTGTTCTTATTTCAAGTTTTTTTCTTTGGTTATTGTAATATCTTGACTTTTGTAAGCCTACTTTTTTTAATTGAAGAATCTAGATGTTTGAATTTTGGGAATCTATCTATTTTGAAGAAAAAAATTCTGCAAGACTTTTATATGTGGGAAGAAGGTGGCATTATAAAATATTGAGGCTCAAGGCAGAAATAAGTATATAATAAGGGGGAGGAATATACATTAAAACAGATATTGGTGTCTACGATATTGAGCAGTGGCGGAGCTTGAACAATTAATTTGGGGGCCGAATGTGTTATAAACTAAACCTACGGTTCTTACAAAAAAAACACTTTTTTTAGCAAATAAACACAAAAAATACATAGAAAAACAACTTACAAAAAACTGCAACAGTTTATTAACCAAAAATACACCAAATAATCAATGGCTTTCATCTTTCCCATGATTGTATCTATAAAAATCAAAATGAAGGAACATATCACTCAATAAAAATAAAAAATTAGACAAAACTCATCACTCATCAGTTTATTTTATATAAAAATTAACAAAAAACTACAACAATTCATTAATAGCTTCAGTGGGTTTGGTGTAGATAGATAAGTCAATAAATGATATTTTTTTTCCTACTAAATCTATCAAGAACTTGATTGATTCAATAAAAAAGGATTTTTATAATTTTTAAAAGAATTCTCACTTCTAGAATGAGGTTCTATTGGAGCTCAATGTTTGTCTATATGCTCAAATTGAAGACTTTTTGATCTTCTTGATTCTTGAAGTCAACTGTTCTACAATTAAAAATGCATATTGTGATATCAAATTTCAAGATACTAGCACATTTGGTGGAAAATCGTTATACAACCAAATAGTTTCCATCAAAAGCTTATGCCTCTTGTTTCATACTGTATGTAGAAATAGTTCTAGCCTTTCTAATAAATTGGTCAAATCTCAAATACGGCTTCATCAAATTCGTATTCTTTCTGAAAGGTTAGATAAAATGCTGCTTGTATTTGATTCTGTTAACATATAGTTTTTAGTTTTTACTCTAAATTCGATCAAAGTCAACAAACAGATTTGTATTCTTTCTTACTTTTAAATTTCTATTAACAGAAACAGAGAGAACTGTAGAAGAAAAACGGAGAGCATACCTGATTTCCGGTGAACTGTGGACAACGACAGTGGTGCTCCGGTGGTGTCCAGGTGCAGGCATCCAAGCGATAGCAAACGAAGATGGGGCAGAAGCGGAACTGTCGGTTGCGAAAGGTTTAGGGATGATTGGAAGATCGATTTTGACTTCTAACTAGTCAATTGGTTTGGGCTTCCGTCTATTAGAGAGTTAATTAGGAGGGGCCATAGCCCAAAGTTGACAATAGTAGGCCTATATTTACAAGATTTGATGCTATAAGGCTATTTCTAACCCAAATTTCAGGGGGAGCCAGAGCCCCTCCTGGCCCTATAAATGCTCCGCCCCTGATATTGAGAATAATATAGTGTTAACGCTAGGTGGCGGTAGTCCCTGAGTTGGCATGCATATGTGGCGTTCTTAGCTGATTTGGCATGTATATTAGGACTCGATAGTTGATGTGGCATTGAATACATGGAGTTTTCAGAATATCTATTAAAAGGAGAAAAGAAAGAATGGGGGTCGTGACAGATTTCGGACAAACGACCTTCCTTTCTAATGGCAACATATAAACCGTTGCGGAGAGTGCTTAATTTGTAAATAAATCCCCAAAACACACACACACACACACACACACACACACACATATATATATATATATATATATATATATATATATATATATATATATATATAATATATATTATATATTATAAATGAAGTCATTCAAATGAATGTGGTTTAAGATAGACCATTTATCTTAAACCGTATTCAGTTGAAACTTCCAAACTCTTCGTCTTATACTACTTAAATGATTAATTAGTTGGAATATTTTGCCTATATAAGAAACATTTGTTTTTCTTCTATTTTCATTTTGTTTTATTTTTATTTTTATTTTTGTTATCTGGAGTGTATGAGATTGAGAAATTTAAGATAGGGTTTCTTTCTTTTTTCCACATATTTTTTTATTATATTTTCTTAAAATTTCATAAGAAGTTTGTTGTGTATAAGAGTCAATCCAAAAGTTTTTGGTATTTTAAGATGATGAAGAATTGTCTCAAGGTTATAGATTTATAGCCAAAAGAAAAGTTTTGATGAGTTCTCTTCACATTTATAAAATAAGTACAAAAAAAAACTATGAATGTTAATGTGTTTGAAGTGAATTTTTGAAAGAAAAACGAGATCATAAATTGGTTTTTGATGGGTTCTGTTTACATTGATAAAAATATAAATGTCCAAATTCATTACTTTATGGCTTATTTTTGTGTGGATATTGAATAAAAATGTATAAGAAATGCATGGATGTTATTTATTTATTTATTTTTTTTTGTCATCCTTTTATTTTAATGGTGTTATTGACTACTAATTGAAACATATGTTAATTACCATTTCTTAATTGTAGGGTCTTAAGTTGGTATATAACACATTTTCCAAACATAATTTTTTTTTTGTAATTTAATATATAAATATGAATAATTTTATTAATTTAGTTATGAAATTGTTGCTTTAAATATATAACTTTGTATTATAAACTTTGTCTTAAAAATATAACTTTATATCATACAAATAAATACATATAAAATAATAGATGCATATATTTAGTTTTTAATATTTTGTGTGAAGGCTTTTGTTATAATATTTGGTCTTGACATTAGATGATTATAATATTCATTTAATTTATTAAACATAATTAAAATATTTTAATCGTATTTAATTAAGTCTCATAAGTATCACTTAAATACCATGAATGAAAAACGTCTTTAGTTGTAATGGTTTAATTATAAATAACATTTAATTTGAAGTTGAAAAGTTTGGAATATTAAAATAGAACTTGAATGTAATTATCAAATTTTCATCACATCAACGTGGTTAAAGATATATATTTTAATTATTGAAAATAAGTATTTTAAAATATGTTTTTTTAATTAGTTAATCATAACAATAGTTATAAATAATACTAAACCAAATAAATAATTTTCAAATTAATTAATCATAACAATAATTAAAAGTAACACTAAATCAAGAATTTCATTTAATTTTATTCATGTATAAACCCCTTGTAGAGACAATTGAAAATTTTGATTATTTAATTTTATTCATGTATAAACCCCTTGTAGAGACAATTGAAAATTTTGATTATAGTAGATGTTTATGTTATCATATTGTTCAAAAAACTTACAATTTTTTATATCAACATAACGTAAAAATTATTATTTCATAGTTAATGTGAATAACTACATAATCTTAACCTATGCAACGTACGGAAATTCGCCTACTATATTATGTATATCAAAATGTATTTTTCATAAATAAATCTTTTTCATATAAAAAAACCATACAAGCAAAAAGGTGTATTAAAAAATGTACTTTCACATAAAATTAATTTTAAAAAGCGTATTTTTACATTAAAAACGTATTTTAACAATATAAAAATAAATGTATTTTTTACATAAAATATCATTTTTTGTGCATTTAACTATTTAAAAAATATACATTTATATATTAGTTAAAATACCTTTTTTGCTATATAGAATACGATTTTATACTCTATTGTTCTATATAAAAAACTTTATTATATAATATATATATATATATATATATATATATATATATATATATATATATATATCTATATATATATATACTTATTTGGGGAGTTTACACATGAAACATTTTGCTCACTAGTTAAAGCATTATGTGAAGAAATGAAAGTGTCATGTTCGAAATTTGTTGATTTCTTCTTTGTTTCTCGTTTCTCGTCAATTATTTTATGTGTATGTATGTTTTAATTTCTTCTATAATATAAATAAGTTTTAGGAAGATATAATTGAAATGGCTTCTAGTTCATCGGCTAAAGGTGCCACATATAAGAAAGGGGAGGTCGATGGGTCGAATCCTTGTGCTTTTTTCAATAGATATATAGACATGGCGATCCAGACACCATGTCATGTCAGCATGCCATTAAGGATGATCGACTAATAATCGGCTAATAGGAAAAATTTGAAACATCTTCTATGAAGTTGTGGCTTTTATAGAACTAAAAATAAAGTTAACGTAAATTGAAAATCAGATCGTAGATTGTAGAGTTTGAGACTTTTGTAGCAATTACCTAATCATATATCAAATTAAAGACCAATAATCGCTAACGCAAAGGGTTATTTTGATAGGTTTATGCTTACATTAACAACAGAAAAATCTAAAATTGCATTTAATTTTATTTATTTTTAAGTTGAAAATGCAAAATGAATGACTAAGATTGGAAGCATTTAGCAATCGGTGATAAAGGAAGTTCGACTACTTTGCAATGATCTCTGTAAGACTGGGACGCGTTCATTGTTTTTATATTTATGTTACCCCTTTATAGGAGTCTAATGATTGAATAGTGGAATTCCTCAAAAAAAAGTCTATGATTCAAATACTGGGACATCTAACATATTGTTAGTGTTCT